CATCAATGAAGATTAATGAGCCCGTCCCAGAAGAAGCCATGCAAGCCTCCACTGTGTTTCACAGATGAGCTTGTATGTTTGGGATCATGAGCAGATCCTTTTTTCTTCTTCAAACTTTAGCCTTTCCATCACTTTGGTAAAGGTTCATCTTTGTCTCATCAGTCCATAAAACTTTGTCCCAGAATTTTTGAGGCTCGTCCCTGTACTTTATGGCAAATTCCATCCTGGCCTTCCTATTCTTCTGGTGTAGAAGTACAAATGGTTGTACTGGCTATGGCCAATGTTTGTGCAATGGCTCCGATTGATTTTTCATCTTCTCTCAGCTTCACAATTGCTTGTTTTTTACCCATAGACAGCTCTCTGGTTTTCACGTTGGTTACATGTCTAACTATAAATGCAGTCTACACAGGCAAAACCCAAAACTGAAACTTAGAGCAGACATTCAGTGCTATTTATTGTTTGAATAATCATTGTAATAGGACACACCAGGGCAACAAAGCACACCTGTCAGTCACATGGTCCAATACTTTTGCTTACATGAGCAATGGGTGGGTTCAAATAAAAGGTGATTTTAAAGGGGTCATATGATGCTGCTAAAAAGAACATTATTTGGTGTATTTGGTGTAATGAAATGTGTTTATGCGGTTTAAGGTTAAAAAAAAACACATTATTTTCCACATACTGTACATTATTGTTTCTCCTCTATGCCCCGCCTTTCTGAAACATTAATCATTTGACAGCATATATATATATATATATATATATATATATATATTACATGAAAATTTAAAAATACAGAAGGTTTACACATTACAAAGTTTTTAACTAAACATATATAAAGTTTTATATAAAGCTATAGTGTACATAAATACTAGGTAACATTTAGTATAGGGACCAATTCTCACTATTAGATAGTTACTTATTATTGTGCCTATTGTTAACATATTGGCTGTTTATTAGTACTTACAAAGCACATATTCTGCATGACCATATTCTAAGCAGCAAATTAGGAGTTTGAGGCAAAAGTCATAGTTAATGGTTTGTTAATAGCGAGAATTGGACCTTAAAATAAAGTGTGACCATATACTATACACTAAACCAAATCCAGCATTAACCATCAAGGAAACTTTTTTGTATTATTTTATTTATTTATGAATCATTTATGAGCTTTTGTCAGATTTACCTAATTTCTGTGGATAACTCTGACCCCCAAACTATGGTACAACCATGTAAACTCCCAAACAGACACACACATAATCACACAACCAGAGCACAATATGCTTAATTAAACATGTGCTACTGTATGCAGCACAGTTTTATTTACAGATGAGCCAGCATCTGTAAATGAGCAGCAAAAAAGCAGTTGCATCCTGCCTATTTGATAGAGATATTCAATGATATTTGAGGGAATCTCAGCTAATCATAATCCAATGTGACAGATGGGATTACAGAATAATGTGTTCCCGAATCCAATGAAAATGTCAGAGAATGGGGGAAATCCATAATTGTCATTTCACAGCATCCATGGTTTAAATACACCATTGTTGAGTTATTAGTGCTAAATTATGAATAGAAAGCCTCTGCGGCTAAATGTCCCTGATGAGCGCTACTAAAAGAGGAACTAAATAAAGTGTCATTTATTAATTCTGCTGAATCCTTCTGGATCTGTGGAGTTGTTGTATAACGTCAGTGGCGGCTCAGCTGCAGTGGGAAACAGTTTGAAATGAGAAACTTGACATAGCCTTGAGCACACATACACATTGTGCTCTGTCCTTGAGTGGGAAACAATTTAATTTTGTGTGTTAAATCAAACTGACATGATTTAATTTAACTGGGAAATATGTATTTGGAGGTTTCATTGAAAAACTACTGAAACAACACTAAAATGACAACTAAACAAATCAAAAATTCAAGATAAAACAGTAGCCATATTATAGTCCATTTTACGACATAGCCCATCTGTAAATACGAATTCTACATTACTGTATTTAAAAACATCCCTATATAACACAGAAAATGACATTAATCAACATATTTTTGAATTACAAAGCCAGTATGATGAAAATGTCCACGCATACAAATGTGCATACGTACAGGCCTACAGAAAGCATATCACTTGCCAAACACACTTATAAAAAATATATGAGGCTTATCATGTTTCAGATGTTGAACTCTAGTGCTGTCAGGACAGAGAAGAGAGAAGCGACACAGGCTGCCTCGGCAAAAATACAAGGAATGTTTTAGGTTCGGGAAATCACAGACTTTCTAAGAATTCGAATCAAATCATTTCAACATTTGATGAGGTATCAAGATTCAAGACTTTACCGTGGTGTGTGTGGATAGTGTGTATCTGTGTGTTGATAACAGAAAAATCACTAGGGGATTCAGGCAAACAAAAGGCAGCTGTATTAGGGTGTTTTCAGTAGGGTGTAGGTCACACATTTTAGCAGGAGTAAACACACACACACACACACAGAACATGTATATTTTAGAAGATCTTTAAATGGTTGGTATTTGATATGTACTGCTTTATTAATATTGAGTTAGAGCATGTTTAGAACAGATATCCCTCTCCAGTTACATTACATTTACAATTACTCCAATTTACATAAAACTATACACTAAGGGTATGTTTATGCCCATAATGCAATACATTAAAAATATGTTCCTTTCTATTTAAACCTGCTGAGAAAAGCTGCATGTATATATCTATATTTTTGTGCATATGCGTATTTTGATTGAATAATATATTTGAGCTCACATGTTTGGAACGAGCGTTGGGCGTGCTCAGCCCAGCCTTTATAAAGCAATGAAATCCCCACTGTGCAGAATAGCATTGCCATGTTGTCATGGTGTGCATGAAACAAATACAGGCAGTTTTACGATAAGTGAATTCCCCCACGTGTCTCTGTCCTTCTCCAGACCTCCATACGAAGGCTCCAAAACATCTTAGAATGAAGCAATATCATCTGGTTTGTTTGATGTTTTACATAACAAATGAGTTGAAGGTGGTGTGACAGCACACCGAGTGCTGAAAAGACACACTCTCAAACACACTTCCTGTAAAAACAACACCCGCCCACATAACTAGTGTTCCTAGAATGACTCCTATAAAAGAGAAAACAATGAGGCACTGTATTTGTAATTGTTGAAGTTGAAGAAATCATGTATGATTAAGAATGTAAGTGCAAATTTGAAACAATTAAAGGCTTAGCAATTAAAGCAATTAATGTCTAGAAATACTGACATTTCCTTGCTGATCACATTTTTTGTCGATACACCTATTATATAATTTTATTAAGCATTTTGGATGAATACAAATAAAAATCACAGTCTCACCACTGTCAATGCTAATGGGGTGAAAGGTGGGAAGAATTTGAGGGGCCGGCATTAAAGTCTTCTTTAATTAAGAAATAATTTATGCAGATTCCTTTATTAATTCTGTAAATACTAATGTAGAAACTCAATTATATTACAAAAAAAATTCACATTTTCAAGCAAACCTGTAAGTATTTAACTAAACTCAATAGTAATAGTTACAATTAAAAATTAAAAATTCTACTTTATGCACTACTGTTTAAAATTCAAAAATACAGTAAAACATGAATATTGTGAAATATTATTGCAGTTTAAAATAACTGTTTCCTATTTGAGAATACTGTAAAATGTAATTTATTTCCATGATGGAAAAGCTGAATTTTTAGCAGCAATCTCATGTTTTCAGTTTAACATGATCCTTCAGAAATCAATCTAATATGCTGTTTTGGTGCACAAGAAACAAAAGGTACAAAAGCTGTCTCTGGGGTGGTACCTTTTCGAAAGGTACACTTTTGTACCTTTTTAACCCCTAAACGGCGCATATTAGTACCTTAGAGGTACATATGATATTAGTACTTAATTACCTTTTGAAGGGGTAGAGCCCTTTTGTACCTTTTTTGCTGTGCTATTATCACTGTTAAAAACAGTGGTGCTGATTTAATATTTTTATGGAAACTTCTTTAAAAGCAGAGCAATAAAAATAGAATAGAAATCCTTTGTAACATCAAAATCTCTTTACTCTCACGTTTGATCAATTTAATGCATCCTTGTTGAATAAAACGGTTGTGTATATCCATGCATATCGTAAGAAATATGTTGTCTTCACTCTCAACCCTAGTTCACGGTGTGTGATAAGACACATATAAAAAAAGCATGACACATTGACTATTCAGAGAATACAAACTTTTCTAAATACACACCCATCCACAAAATAAAGGTGAACTGCAAAGGACTGTTTTACAAAACTAGCCTTAACAACTCCGTATTAAATCCATAATTATTTGTGCATAGCTTAAAATTTGAAAGTTATTTAAAACAATAAGAGTTAAGGGTGGGAGGTTATCAAAAAAAATAAGAGCAGCAACTGCAATTTGACTAATGGCGTGCAGTAACCGCACTGACTGATGCTGTGAGGTAAGAATAAACGTGCTAAACTCTATTAAGAAGATCACATTGTCTCAACCCTGAGGTCACCTAGCAACCCCTGTCTGTATTCACAACATCATCAAGCTGAAAACAGCCGGTGCTGGGAGAAATTATCTTGCTTCTAACAGACACACATACACAGACAGACAAAACAAGAATCCACAGTGACCCATGTGTTTGGCTTAATTGGAGCTATTCTTGATGAAATCAGATCGCAAACAGATGAAACATCGTCACCTTAATAAACTTCCTCTCTACTCTATGGTTGTGGCAGACCGCTGTCACAACAATATACACACCACCCTCCCAGTTCGTGGAGAATGATTGGGTTTGTTAATGTAAATACAGTGCCACGCTGCACAACAAAATACCTCAATGTTTTCATCACATTTGTTTTGTGTTCAGGTTCTAGAAGCTGTACATTCAAAGCGCCTTTCAAGATTCCTTTAGGGTAAAAGCCATTATATAATTGTCTGAAAACTGCCACACAATAATAGTATATAGATGGAGTGAGTGGGTCGTGACTGACGTGTTACCTTTGCAGACAAAGCACTTGATGTGGAAGTGTTTGTTCTGCACCCGGAGCACCTCGCCTTTGCAGGGCTTGCCACAGTTTTGACACGGGATGGGGCCGCTCTGCCGCTGTCCCTTCTGCTGTTCCAGGGGACTGTGAACAGCCTGCTGGTGAAACGCTGTGGAGACACAGTGAGAAAAAAAGTTTGACTGAAAAGTGTCTATGACAGGTGACAGGTATAGAAACGTTTAGGAATTAGTCAACAACCTATACTAATCTAACCTAGTATGCTAGTGTGCACGTATGCTATTGCAAATTTAGATGTTGAATAGTCAATATTGAATTTGAATACAATTTTGAATACATCAAATATATAATTAATTTATTATTATTATTCTTTAAAATATGTCTATTCATTATTTTTTATTAGTAGGGATGCACCGATACCACTTTCTCCAGTACTCGCCCGATACCAATACTTTTATTTTTGGTACTTGCCGATACCGAGTACCGATACCAATATTTTTATTGCATTTGTAAATTTTTTAAATATTTTAAAAAACTAAGAAATGTGACAAAAGCACATAAAAGTTACTAAAACCTAAACTAATAAATACATCAAATTAAAATATTATAAAAATAATAAAAATTTGAATGAATACTACAACAGTTATATCATAGTACATTCTTGAAAATGTTATTTTTTATACATTTTTTTAACAATAGCCTGTAAATGTGCTACTTTTAAATGTAAATCCTGAAGTTGTCTACATCATATTATTGTTGTGAATTTTCTGACATTTGGGAAAGTTTGCAGTTTACTTTTAAAAAAAATAATTCAACTAAAAGAGAATTAATTAATGTCATGGGAATGCATTCTTGTTTGTTCCCCCTCCAGATCATGAGCGGGGATCCATACTAAAATATTACATGACCTTGTACCCTCTCACACCATTGTCCACGGATAATCACCGGAACAGTGAAGATGAGTTTGCGGTAGACATGGATGACGTCAGGGCTCTGCTCTCCTTTGTAAATTTTTAAGCTGTCATTTGCGCCTGTCTGGCACCCAATATTCACACCTACTCCATTACAAAGGCGTGTAAACTCAAACAAACACTTTATAATACAATCCAACACACAGCTAGAGAAAGACCTTCAACCTCTTTTTTTTCAAAGGGTGTGTAGCAAAACTGGTTCTGTTGGACGTCCCATTCCATTCTGTAGTGCGATTTTCACAGCAGGTGTTCACTTTGTGAAGTCTATGGGATAAATGGCTACAGAGAAATGTGTTTTTGCTTGTTCTCAGAGGCGAAAACCTGTATTGTCCTATAGCTGCTGGTTTCAGCTCACTCACACAGAATTACTGAGCTTTTGACTCTAACTAGATAGAAGTGCTTTGGGAGGAAACTACAGAAATCACTGAATGTGTGTTTGTTTGTGTGTGTTTGACTGCATTTGTCATGTCACGGGGAAAGACGACCCATCTGCCAAGTCATAATAGTGGTCACACAGTATGAGACACTAACTTAAAGTCAATGTGAATTTAGATTTTCAACCAATTTTAATTTGTAATGTGACATATTTTAGAGAAAAGCATGTAGAATAGGACTCAAACACTGGAAATTGGTTGAATCATAGAAAGTGGGTGCCATACCGAAATGGAGCCAGACCAGTTGTGAGTTTGCTAAATCAATGCCTAAAAACAATTTGGCTGTTGGTTAACATTATCCAATATAGCCTGAATGGACTAAGCAACGTCAGCAGAAAAGTTGTTTCAAATTAGGAGCAAGGTAATTACATTTTCATAAGTGAGATATTCCTCGAAACTCTCTAAACAAATCATATGAAGTCCTCTGAACCAGAAAGGTTAGTTTAAGAATTAGTATTTGTCATTCAGATAGGCTGATGAGAGAAAACAGAAATAGGCTGGCTAATATGTCAATCCCTTTTACCTGTACCATTAATCCGCCATTTGGCTCAACATCTCATTTGAACTTGACACAAATACACTCTGTGAACCTTCACTACATCAACTTGTTTTTATAGATCCTAAGAGAAATTCTTGTGCTGTTGAATCCCAGAAACAGCAAGCTGGGAATGTTTTAAAGCACAAGCTATTTCCTGCTTTCACAGATCAGGTAGAGTTGTTAAACAACAGTCGACATGTATGATAATCCATAAAAGTGCAATAAAAACTATGGATGACTCACTTTTAGCATGCTGACTGTACATGGTAATGCTTTATACCTTGAATTAATCTTTTGAGGTTACAGTCAAATGACAGAAGACAGATTACAGGTTATTTTTTTCCCATAAAGTATGCTTCCAAAAAAATGAAAAGCAAGCTTTAAATCCCATCAACCCTCATAAAGAGGTTAATGCATTTAACGAATGCCTGGTACATTCCAACTACAACCACAAACAAATGATGGGGACAGAAAGGACAAACGTTTTCATTCTAGACCAGCATGCAATTGTTTTGCGTGTAGTCTACCAGAAATTTAGACTCATCTACATTTTTAAACCATGGGTGAACCCAGTATAGTTAGTTAATTAAAATTAAAAACTATTAAACATAAATTTCAGTCATTGAAATAAAGCTTAAATAAAACTGTTTTAATATTAAACAAAAAAAAAACTTTATAAAATGTTGCCTTTTCAAACTCATCTACATTTTTAAACCATGGGTGAACCCAGTATAGTTAGTTAATTAAAATTAAAAACTATTAAACATAATTTTCAGTCATTGAAATAAAGCTTAAATAAAACTGTTTTAATATTAAACAAAAAAAACTTTATAAATGTTGCCTTTTCAAATAATGGGAATAAATTAGGGATGCACCGAATGTTCGGCAACCGAAATTATTCGGCCAAAAATAGCAAAAAACTATTTTGGTGTTCAGCCGAATAAGTGAAAAGACAGAATAAATTGTACCGAACAATGACAATTTTGGTGACGCGATCAAATAGCAACCAGCGTAGAGTGAGAGGCGCACACTCTTTATAATGCACCAAACATGTCAGCAGTGTGGAAGCATTAAAAACTGTCTGAGAAAGACGCAAAAAACAAGCAGCGGCAGCGAGAGACTCGCTTTTTACTACTGCATCGCATGTCTTCGATGAGAAGAGGAAATGGCATTTAACAATTAGTAAATAAACTGCAGAATGTTATGTTTTCTCAGATGAATACATGCATGAATTGCATGTTTTCTGACAGTGCTGCACGAGCTTGCGGCGCCAGGGTTCAAAGTCTGCAAAGAAAATCTGCACTGAAACAGTGGTATTCGTCAGTTGCACAGTAACGTTTTTATGAATTTTTACAAGGCATGTGACAATGCGATACGTGTGACAAATACCTTCCTAAATTCATAATGTGAATAATTTATAAATCTGCTGTTGTCAACAAAAAGCACTGAGGTCTTCCTGCGGGTTTCCGCCAAAATAAAAGCTGAGAAAAAGCAACTCCATCAACATTCATAAATGTTAGTATTGTAATTTTATTGTTGTTCTGTAAAATAAAATAGACAATAATAATTACAACAGCTCTATTCATAAATGTATTATATTATTCACACATACAATGGTGTGAAAAAGTTTAATTTTTTGCATATTTGTCACACTTGAATGATTCAGATCAAACTAATTGTAATATTACACAAAGATAACACGAGTAAATACAAGATACCGTTTTTTTTTTTTTTTATTTCATTTATTAAGGGAAAAAAGCGGTCCAAAAATGCCTGGCACTACGTGAAAAAGTAATTGCCCCCTAAATCTAATAACTTGTTGTGCCACCCTTTGAAGCAACAACTGCAAAAAAGCATTTGTGATAACTGGCAATGAGTCTTTCAGATCTCTGTGGAGGAATTTTGGCCCACTCTTCTTTGCAGAATTGTTTTAATTCAGCCACATTGGAGGGTTTTCGAGCATGAATGGACTGTTTTAGATAATTCCACAGCATCTCAATCGGATTTAAGTCCGGACTTTGACTTGGCCACTCCAAAACATTAATTTTGTTTTTCTTGAGCCATTCAGAGGTGGACTTGCTGGTGTGTTTGGGATCATTGTCCTGCTGCATAACCCAAGTGCGCTTGAGCTTGAGGTCACAAACTGCCTGTTTTTTAATTGTTTGCATATTTGTCACACTTAAAGGATTCAGATCATCAAACTAATTTTAATATTACACAAAGATAACCTGAGTAAATACAAACTGCAGTTTTGAAATTATGATTTCATTTAAGGGAAAAAAGCTGTCCAAACCTGCCTGGCCCTACGTAAGTAATTGCCCCCTAAATCTAATAACTGGTTGTTCCACCCTTTGCAGCAACAACTGCAATCAAGCGTTTGTGATAACTGGCAATGAGTCTTTCACATCGCTGTGGAGGAATTTTGGCCCACTCTTCTTTGCAGAATTGTTTTCATTCAGCCACATTGGAGGGTTTTTGAGCATGAAAGGACTGTTTTAGATAATTCCACAGCATCTCAATCGGATTTAAGTCCGGACTTTGACTTGGCCACTCCAAAACATTAATTTTGTTTTTCTTGAGCCATTCAGAGGTGGACTTGCTGGTGTGTTTGGGATCATTGTCCTGCTGCATAAGACAAGTGCGCTTGAGCTTGAGGTCACAAAATGATGGCCGGACATTCAGGATTTTCTGATAGAGTGCAGAATTCATGGTTCCATCAATTATGGCAAGTCGTCCAGGTCCTGAAGCTGCAAAGCAGCCCCAGACCATCACACTACCACCACCATGTTTGACTGTTGGTATGAAATGCTGTGTTGGTTTTACGTCAGATGTAATGAGACACACACCTTCCAAAAAGTTCAACTTTTGTCGCATCAGTTCACAGAATTATTTGCCCAAAAATCTTGGGGATAAACAAGATATTTTTTGGCAAATATGAGCCAAGCCTTTGTGTTCTTTTTGGTCAGCAGTGGCTTCTGCCTTGGAACTCTCCCATGGATGCCAGTCTATTTTTTTTTATTGTTGAATCATGAACACTGACCTTAATTGAGGCAAGTGAGGCCTGCAGTTCTTTAGATGTTGTTCTGGGTTCTTTTATGACCTCCTGGATTAGTCATCATTGCGCTCTTTGAGTAATTTTGATTGGCCGGCCACTCCTGGGAAGGTTCACCCCTGTTCCAAGTTTTCTTTATGGATAATGGCTCTGACC